GGGGGCATTGAGGGGGGAGGAGGGAGGGCTAAATGACTGAGGACCTGGAAGATGAGACATAGTTGCTGTAACTAGAATCAGGTTTCAAATGGACTCCACCCAGGTGTCTATCTGAACTTAATGATATCTCCAGTAGAAAAAGAAGTGAGAGGAAGAAAACCCTTATAATTACTTATAAGGGTGTGCTTTTGTCAGCCATATAAACCCCGTGGATTCTCTTCCAATCAGAATATTTATTTCCACCTGCCTCTTACATTTAGATGAATTTCTATCCCTCCAACTAAGAATCCATCTGTTGATTGTGTTTTCTGTCATTTGCACTCAGTGGTATCCTTGGCAACCAGGCAGCTGTTGCAGATACAACCCTTAGAGTTCAAAATTATGTTCTTATTTCAGAAACAATTCACTAAACAGAACAATATCTCTTAAGACAACATTTCTCAAATTATGTCCTACAGATCCCTAATTACCATCCCCTGGAATCGGGAGTCCACAGAATACAGTTGGGGAAGCACCTCCTTAAATCAATAAAACTGAATGCAAAACACAGATTGAAACCGAAATTTGGAGTGAGTTCCTGCTTGTGTTCCAGACCTTGGAATTCCTGAGGCTTTTTCAGAAATTGTGGTCCATACTGGAACAGATCCTACAATTCAAATTATTTATGACCAATGTGAATTGAAAAAGCATGAAAATATAAAGACACTTTTGGAGGTTCTCTCCAAATATCTGAGTCAGTTTCAAACTTTCTGAACCAACTTGCATGTGGGTACAAGGACCCACAATGTCCCTTTTCCCAAGATGCCTACAGGCCACAATCACCAGTTCCTTTTAGGGGATGGGGACCATAGGCAAGACTTCTCTAGGGACCAGGAAGACAGCAGGTGCTGCAACGCTGCCCCTTTGCCTAACTCTGAATGTGTGAAGGATTATAAGAATGCTAGTGTTTCCTGATTGGGTATGAAACAGAGCCCCTGAATCAACCTTAACATATTCAAGTAGAGAAAGAGGCAATTTGTTCATTGAGTTTAACTGCTTTCTGTCCCTGGTACGTAAGGGGTATTTGACAAGTAATTTCTTATTTGTCTGTCTCCTCCAGTAGATTATAAATTCTATGAGGTCAATAAATTAGCAATGTCCTTTGTAGATATATCAGGTGTTCTCAGATATGAGAGACTTTGACTTAGAAGGGTAGAGTTTTGTGGGAATGGGTTTAGGTAGAAGATTTTTGCTATAGTTTTGTTGCAAGATCTAGAAGGTCTGACAACTGATTAAATGTTGATGGATGGGAAGCAATGGAGAGAAAGATGAAGTCAAACAGAGATGAAGGTGTTGAAGTCTGAATTATTTAAACTTGCGATATCATTAAAATAGTAGTAAGATTAATAACATTTGAGGATAGTTTCATTTACATAATGTTTTTACATACATTATATTGTTTAACAGATACAAATAAATCAGTGGGGGAAAATTTTGGGGGAGGTGGGGATTGTAATTAATATCTGTTGCTTTGGTCTTTTCAAATATATTTTCTCCCTTTTCTCAATTTTTCTATATTGGACTAAAGATTATGTGATTGAAGCTAATCCATAGCTTTAAAGTTTCAACAATTAGCCAATTATCATCCCAGTAGAGGTGGTACTAAAGATGGTCACTGAGATTAAGAAGATTTTTGGGTCCAGCTGACGTGGCTCAGTGGTTGAGCATTGAGCTATGAACCAGGAGGTCATGGTTTGATTCTGGTCAGGGCACATGCCCGGGTATGGGGCCTGCACAAGGCAGCCAATCAATGATTCTCTCTCATCATTAATGTTTCTATCTCTCTCTCCCTCACTCTTCCTCTCTGAAATCGATAAAAATATTCTTTAAAATATTTTTCGAATTATGTGTGACTTAACATCAAAGCCCCCAGGAACTATTGATCGGGAATAATACACTTTTTGTTCTATTAAAAAATATTTAACATATTTCCACACTTTAGTTATGTGATTGGGTACAGGATGGCCAGTCCCAAGTTAGCCCAAAGAAATTCAACTATAGGTTTACTAAAGCAGTGAAAGTAGAGCCTGACTTAGAAAAAAGGAAGTCAGCATGTACACACACACACACACACACACACACACACACACACACGATAGGGAATGTGGGTGAAAAGGGAGGAGAGGAGAAGAAAAAGAAGGGGAGGGAAGGGGGTAGGAAAGAGAAGAGATTTAATTTTAGACAACACCATTTGAGTTTCTAGATTGAGCTCAGGGCTCTTCTGGTTACAGAGGAAAATATTCCTCATTCCCCATTTAAGCTACTTTAAGTTAGATTTTTCATTTGCAATACAAAAAAATTGGTAAATACAGTGATGGTGTGTTTGACTTCAAACATATAGAATCTCAGTTTCCAGAATGATATTTTGGTGAACTATAACGCAGGAGAGAAGTTATAACCAGGGATAAATATTTGAGACCCATTTGAAAATGATATTAAATCTCTGGTAGTGACTGAGGTCCACAAGAGAAAGGATGTGGAGAAAGATGGGTGAAAACAAAGAGTGGGATAATGCTTAGTCATAGGAACTGGCAGAGACCACTGGAGAGAAGAAATGGTCCTTGGGGTTAAGTAGAGGTCAAATAGAATGAAGATTGTCACTGGGTAGCAACTGGAAGTCATTGGCTGTCATCGAGGCAGTGATTT